TAGTGTAGGGTTTCCTGCCTAGGCAGGCAGGGGGTTGGACTAGAAGACCTCCAAGGTCCCTTCCAATTCTATTTCTATTGTATTCTCTATATTCTATTCTTTCTCTGTTCTATTCTAATCTCTTCTGAACTAAATGTTTATCTAGAACTCAAATAAATAGCTGCTTTTTGGTTTTATTTTTTTTAATATTTATCAGTCTCTCTTTTATTCCATACTTCTGGTTGAAAGACTATTCTATGTCATGCTAAACAAATGCATATTCTAGTGGTGGCGGGAGCTCGTTGGCATCTTCAGCAGCAGCCCTGCCTCCTGTGAAAAAACCGAAGATGGAGCAGATCCACGCAGATGACGTTGCTGCAACATGACTGGAGGAGGAATTCTGGGAGTTGAAGTCCACAAGGCTTAAAGCTGTCAGGTTTGAAGACCCCTGGGGTTTTTTTTCCTAAAGGGTTAGGGGTGCTGTGAGTTCTAGTCCTGCCTTAGACACAAAGCCGCCTGGGGGATCTTGATCTAGCCACATTCTTATCAACCCTAGGAAGGAGGCAATGGCAAACTATTTCTAAAAACTTTGGCAAGAAAACTGCAAGAACTTGTCAATACAGTCTCCAAAATTGGGATATGATTGAACAAAAAAAAGTCTAGAAAAGAAGAAGAAAAGAGATTTAAATCTTTTCTTTCTCTTTCTGTTGAAATTCCCAGGTGAGTCGCTCTGCTTGTTTAATGACAACACAATTAATTTGTAAATTATTACGGTCTCGGGAGGCGGCGGCAGCAGTGGATGTCAGAACGTGGCCACCTATATTAGACACAGGTATGTTGTATGTTTGTTTTGTTATGCATCTTTGTTCTGTTGCGAATTTTTCCATCTTTCACAATGTCACAAGAATCATGTCTCCCTTTTTCTTCGTAGACGATTTGCCAAAGAAACGGCCTCCTCAGATCTTCAAACCTTCGAATCCTGACATGCTAGCTTATCTCGATTTCAGTGTATCTACAACTGGAATGTTAGCAGGGGTGAAGGTAAGAATTACACACGCTGGATAAGTCAAGATCTACATCTGGATAAGACACGTGTAGGGGAAGAACAAGAAAAAATACAGCAATAGCAATAGCATTTAGACTTACATACCGCTTCACAGTGCTTCACAGCCCTCTCTAAGTGGTTTACAGAGTCAGCATATCACCCCCAACACTCTGCGTCCTCATTTTACCCACCTCTGAAGAATGGAAGGCTGAGTCAACCTTGAGCCTTGTGAGATTTGATCTGCCAAACTGCTGGTAGTTGGTGATCAGCAGGAGTAGCCAGCAGTACAACACTCTAACTGCTGCATCACTTATTTTTCCCTAACTGCTGCTTCCATGATTTATTATTTTATTTTTAGGGGGGCTCTATTTTTCTGTAATATTCATAGGAGGTACAATACCTGCTGTATTTTTCAGAGTATAAGACATACCTTTTTCCCTCACAAAAGAGGCTGGAAATCTGGATGATTTATACACTCAATGCAGCATTTTTGCCCCCCACCCCAACCCCCTGAGCACTCAACAAGCCTCCTAAAGGCTAGTCATGCCCTTTTTTGAAGGAAAAAAAAACGGGGTTAGCAAAAAACGGCCATTTTGGGGAGGCATGCAGAGTGCAAAAACTTTTTTTATTTGCCTCTTCAAAACCTTGGTGCATTTATACTCCAGTGTGTTTTATACGCCAAAAAATATGGTAATATTGTGACCCTAGGATAAAGCCAAGACAGCAAGAGCTAGTTTTTGAGGTTTTTTTCATGTGGTAGAACATTCTTTAACTGACAGCAGTACGAGATCCTTACCTTTTTTTCATGTTAAGCATTTGGTCTTTTATTGACCTATGCCATCTGTAGCACTTTCTATTTTTACCCTCCTCTTCAGGGTTCCATGTAGTTTCCAGCAGTTCTGGATTATAACCTAGAAATCAAAACCACAATGAGTCACTTTCTGTTTGTTTTTCGTTTGCCGCGTTGATTGATAGTTCTTCTTTGAAAACATTTTACTGTATTTTTCGGAGTATAAGATGCCCCCCCCCCAAAAAAAAGAGTATGGAAATATTGATGCGTCTTATATATCAACTACAGCCATTTTTGGCCTCCCAAAGCCCTGCCCACTTATGCAATTTTTGCAAAAAAATGGAAGCATTTTTGCCTTCCCCCAGCTCTGTAGAAGCACTCTGCAGGCTACAGCAGGGCTGACGGAAGGCAAAAATGCCCCCATTTTTGCAAAAAAAGGGTGAAAATGGAGGCATTTTTGCCTTCCCCTAGCCCCCAGCAGCACTCTGCAGGCTTCAGCAGGGCTGGGGGAAAGGCAAAAATGTCCCCGTTTTTGTGAAAAATGGCCTGTTTTCCACCCGTTTTTCACAAAATTGGGGGCATTTTTGCCACCCCCAGCCTTGCTGAAGCCTGCAGAGTGCTCCTGGGGGGCGGGGAGGACAAAAACTTTTTTTTTTCTTACTTACCTTTTCAAAATCTTGGTGTGTCTTATGCACTAGTGCATCTTAACAGCGTGGAAAAGATTCAGTGAAGATTTGCTTCTAAAGAGATAGAAATGAGAGTACGGAGAGAAGGGATTGGGGGGGTGGAGATGATTACTTTCATTCTGTTACTAACTTAAGATCTGGCAGTGCTTCAGAAACAACCCCATAGAATGGCATAGTTTATCATTTTGATTAATGTTTCCTCTCTCTCCCTTCTTCTTACAGATGTCTCATGCAGCCACTAGTGCCTTCTGTCGTTCTATTAAGCTGCAGTGTGAACTTTATCCTTCTAGAGAAGTTGCAATTTGTTTGGATCCCTATTGTGGACTGGGGTTTGTCCTTTGGTGCCTCTGTAGGTAGGTTTTCCTGATGGGAACTGTCAAGTATCTTTTTCTTTTTTTTTGAAGTGGCAGGACATTACTGTTAGACCAGTGGTGAAAATCAATTATTTTTTACTACTGGTTCTGTGGGCATAGCTTGGTGGGCATGGCAGGGGAAGGATATTCCCACCCCACGCCTGGGGAATGATACTTCAAAATCTCTATTCCCACCTCACTCTGGGGCCAGCCAGAGGTAGTATTTGCCGGTTCTCCAAACTACTCAAAATTTCCGCTACCAGTTTTCCAGAACCTGCTGGATTTCACCCCTTGCTAGACTCTGTGTGTATGTGTACGTAGGGCAGGGATCCAGTGAATCATCTCCCAGGAAAAGGATCAATTGACATATCAAAGCAAAGAGTGAAGTTAGATGTAAGTTTGAAGACCAGCCTATCTGTTCTAGAGGCAAAATAGAGAGGGTAAACGGAGTCATGGTATCTTATTATATTTGAGCAAGTGAGTATTTTAACTAGTTACAAGAAAATATTGCTGTGTGAAACAATCCTCTTCAGAGTTTTAAGACAACCATTCTTTTTTTCCTTCATACTATTCCATGTTGCCACTCACTGGAGTGCTTTTAATGGAATATCACACCCATTCTTCTTTTTTTTTGTTTTCAGCACAGTTCTTGACATTTCTCCAAACTGGCTAATCTCTCCCCGTGGATAAAGCTGCTTTGGCTACCAAAACATTACATGAGTGTGGCATATACCAAATTGGAAAATGAAATCTGTAATTCATTGTTAGCAAAAGGATATAAAGAGGGGGAGGCTAGTAAGATGATCTTGTCCACTGAAAGGGAAGAAAACCTTCAACCCATTTTCTCTTTAACGTGCAGGATTTAAGTTCATCTGCCTCTCCCAGTTTTCCTAAATATTTTAAGCAATTGGAAACTTAACACAAAATGTCCTTTTGCTTCCTGCTAAACTTGTTTATAGGTATTGTTCCAAAAGCATTTCCTGAAAAAGAACTCCAACACCATTTCTGCTAAGAGATTCTAAGAATCTTATTTCAAAAACTACATTTCCAACTTTTAATATAGAGAAAAGGGATATGCAAAGCATTGATTGTCTGTCTATCACAGACATTTTTTACAGGTAGTCCTTGATTTATAACCATCCATTTAGTGACCATTCAAAGTTAGAACAGCACTGGAAAAAAATGACATATGACCGTTTTTCACCTTTACAACCATTCCCATGTGGTCAAAATTTGAAGGCAAGTGGTTCATATTTACGACAGTTTGCTGTCATGTGTTTCTCTTTTACGACTTTCTGACAAGCAAAGTCAATGGGGAAGCCACTTATCAACCATGTTACTAACTTAACAACTGCAGTGATTCAGTTAACAACTATGGCAAGAAAGGTCATAGAACAGGGCAAAATTCACTTAACAAATGTCTCGCTTAGCAATATACAATTGGGGCTCAATTGTGGTCATAAGTTGAGGACTATCTGATTCTTAGCATACATTTTGAAACTGAATTCTCAACTCTGTTGCATAGGCATTAGAACAAATACAGGGTTGATAAACTCTTATTTCAAGAGTTACAGCTCTCTTAAAAGCTCTCTGATGACGTTCTTGATCATGTAAACACACTTGAAGTAAATTTAAATTGTGTTTTTTTTAAAAGAGTACCAGTTTGGGACAACATTGTTTTTATTCCAGTTTGGTATCATTGCCATTAATCACTGCTACAGGAGTGTAAAAAAGGATTGAACCCTAGTTACCCAGGGTTTGCAATCTGAGCACAAGCAGCCAAATTTAGACCTATATATAAAACATAATAATACAGCAAAACCATCTGTTTATCCCTGTTATAGATGCTATGAAGTTGTGCTGGCCTGCTCCATTGTGATGTCCCAGAATGCAGCATTCTGGGACTTTCAAACTACGAAGGAAAACCCCTTGGAGCATGGAGCCAGGCCATTGGTAAGTCATGGCTGTATTGCATGGTTTTGCAAAGTTTTGTTTTTGTTTTTATTTTATGTCCCAAAGGGTATAAAATAATAATGAAAAGAAACCTTGCAAAGCAGAGCAATAGACCTCTATCAAAATTTCTCCAGATTCCTATCAATTGGCCATCCACTCCAGCAGGATTTCCTGGAAATGTTTGTCAAAGATTGATGCATTCTGGGCAAAACAACAATTGTCAGGCCAACGTGAGTTCATGGACATTAGTCTTTCTAAACCTTTTAGCTGTTTGTGCCAAAGACATAGTGCTGGGCTTCATTATATTGTCATTTTTCCCTCCTGCCATGTTTTGGGGTTTGGGAAGATTTTTTAAATATGCTTATTCTAGCAGCTGTTCAGTTTGGTATTGATTTTGAAGTCTGGACCTGACGTCTTTTGTTTAATTTGTCCAAGTTTTATTTCTTTTATGTGGGACCTGAGCTGTTTTAATTGCTCAATATTCATACTTATATGCAAATTTGTGAACTACCCGGATAGTCTTTAAACTAAAATATTAAATTTTCTTTTGGATAAATAATTTTGCAAAACTAACAACAGCCATGTAAGGGTTGTTAACCTGGTGGGAGAGCACTGCTTTTCATGCAGAAGATCCAGGTCTTTGACCAGCATTTTCATTTTGATCTGGGCAGGTTCCTAAAATGCTGTTTCTGCTCAAAATTGAAAATATTGAATCTGTGGCTTCCATGCCTTCCATAATTAGGAAAGGCTAGTACTGTTCTACGTGAACTTTTATCAATAAACCAGATTCATTTAGATCAAGTTATACATAAACTTAAAGGACACGATGGCTCAGTGGCTAAAGCGCTGAGCTTGTCGATCAGAAGGTGGGCAGTTCAGCGGTTCAAATCCCTAGTGCCATGTAATGGAGTGAGCTGCCGTTACTTGTCCCTTCTGCCAACCTAGCAGCTGGTAAAATTCAAGTAGAAAAATAGGGACCACCTTTGGTGGGAAGGAGCAGTGTTCCGTGCACCTTTGGCATTGAGTCATGCCAGCCACATGACCACGGAGACGTCTTTGGACAGAGCTGGTTGTTCGGCATAGAAACGGAGATGAGCACCACCACCCCTAGAGCCGGAAACAACTAGCACATATGTGCGAGGAGAACCTTTACCTTTTACCTTTATACATAAACTTGCCTTGATAGAAAATTGGTTCATACCTCATACTGAATGTAGCAATGTTCAGTTTTGTTTAGGTGGAATGTGTGAAGCCATCCATTGTTGTGTGTGCAACAATCAATGTTTAAAATAGCATAGGCTAGCCAGAGTAGATTTCAACCAAATATGCAATATGATTGAAGTATTCACATTTAAATTCTACTGAAAGCATGAGTTAATAACGTGATGGTTTGAAACACTGCACTTTTGCAAATATCACCAAAAGGAAGGATGTAGAACAAATTAAAAAATAGCAATTCATGGAAACAAAATCATAAAATAATAAAACAAGATTAGGAATTCCCTCTACAGTGGTATGTTTCAAATAAGACCTAGATTGTTTGTTTTTTATAGGATGCCTTTAACTGAATTTCTGCAAAGACCAAGAGATTCTTTCAGTGTATTAAAAGCCCTCTTCTGTTTCTCTCATTCTGCAAAAAAAGGATATATGCAAACATCCCATCTAGAAGGCAGCATTATCTGTTTAGATCTTAAAAAGCCAACCAGAATCAGATGCAATTAATAATTAAATTACAAACTATCTAGAAATCTCAGAATTGCATAGGATGACATTCAGAAAAAGGAAGTGACGAGATATTTCCAAGCCATTTCTCAGTGATCAAAGATGGGTTCTTTTGTATGCAAAGGACTTTCCTTGCCACCCTTAGCATCCCTATATTCCTATGACATTATTTGTTAATCATTTCACAAGGTGAGCAATCTGGTCGGTTGAACCACTTGCTCAGTCAATCCATGTTTTGTTTCAAATCCCAGAGAAGAAGAATCTTCTAACGATTGCTTTCTAAAGAATATTTCCTCAAGGGAGTATTCTTGACAGCAGTAGTAATTCATCACAGGGAGCTTGCCATCTTCATGCTACTATTGAAAAACTATCTAATGTAAGCAAAATAAAGTTCTGACCACTGGGTCTCTCTCTTCACATAAACTGATTTAAAGCTTGCTCATTTTGTTTGACTTTTTCCTCTGGAATATATATTTGTTGCCACTGTTTTGATTTCTAAGATTTACGAGCTATGGGGAAACTGTAGCCCTCTGGTAGCTGCTGCACTGCTTTAGTAGACAAGATCCCTGACCATTGGCTATTCTTGATGGAGCGATTGGAAACTAATTGAGTAACATCTGGAGGGCTTCAGATTGTCCAACCTTGAGCTAAAAGCTGCCAGGGAGAGCTGTCTCCTTCCGTAATTTTGAAAAATAATTTCCTTTTCAATTTGACATCTTCTGGTCTCAAGATAGATTTCTCGTCATGGCATTAACCAATCTTGTGTCTTTACAGCGTTTATTCAGGACACCAGTCTATTTTAATTCCTCCCTCAGAATTGGAAACTACACCTGCTCTATGGCTTCTGGCTGTGAGCCAGTACAAAGTAAGAGATACCTTTTGTTCCTACTCGGTTATGGAGCTTTGCACCAAGGGCCTTGGTTCACAAACAGAATCTTTGAAGGTGAGGAATCCTTGTTCACTTCCTTTCCCCCCGCCCCCTACAGCCTATGTTGCCTGAGCTTCTTCTCCCCATTTGATATCACTGTATATATCAGAGGTCATCAACCTGTGGCTCTGGAGCCACATGTGGCACTTTCATCCCTCTGCTGTGGCTCCCTGTCACCAGTCAGCACCACAATTTTGAGAGGAGCTTCTGGTTAGGGGGAGGGGGAAGCAGGCCGCACTAGGAAGAGACTCTATGGCAAGGGGCGGGTTTTGCTAGCAACTCCATAATTGATAGGGCTTTCGGTTAGGACAGGTAGAGGAAAAAGGATGCCACACTAGGAGGAGGCTCTATGGTGGGGAAACTGGACTTCCAGTCAGCTCCAAAATTGAACAGGGGGCTTCCAGTTAGGACCTTTGTGGTTCTTTAAGTGTTTAAGGTTGCCGATCCCTGGTATTACATATAGTTGATAAACAATTGTCTTTGTGAATCAAGGACTGAAGTACACATTTACCTAAGCAAGTAGAATTCTACTTTCCACTTTATGTGAATTTAGTCAAAATTAAATCATAGCTTGGTATGTGAGCTCACACCCTTTCAACTTTCCACTTGTAGACTCTCTTTAGAGTTTGCTGAAAATAAGGTTGTTAAGCCATGCTGAGCCTTTCCTCCCATTTCTCTAACAAATGGGGTTCAAAGTGGCTAACAAGTTGCATTATAATTATTGTTCCGTCCTATATCTGTTCAAAACAGGCTCAGAGTTTAAGAATTAAATTTGTGTGGCTTTTAGAAGGGGTAAACAAAAAACAATTAACACTCTCTATTCTCCCTAATGCAGAATTATAGGTAGATGGGACTGTAACAACTTTAAGATATATGGAATAATACAACTCCCAGAATTTCCTAACAGCATGCTATACCGTGTCAATTTCAATACCCGAAATTCTTCAGCCAGTGTGTTGCCTGGGGAATTCTGGGAGTTGAAATACACATATTTTAAAAGTGCCAAGGTTGGGAAACCTGGAAACTTTGGCAAAAAACATCTATGATATTTGCTATGATGAGCAGCAAAGATGATTAGGGGACTGGAAACTAAAACATATGAAGAACAGTTGCAGGAACTGGGTATGTCTAGTTTAATGAAAAGATGGACTAGGGGAGACATGATATCAGTGTTCCAATATCACATGGGTAGCTACAAAGAAGAGGGAGTCAAACTATTCTCCAAGGCATCTGAGTGTAGAACAAGAAGCAATGGGTGGAAACTAATCAAAAAGAGAAGCAACTTAGAACTGAGGAGAAATTTCCTGACAGTCAGAATAATTAATCAGTGGAACAGCTTGCCTCCACAAGTTGTGAATGCTCCAACACTGAAAGTTTTTAAGAAGATATTGGATAACCATTTGTGGTGTAGGGTTTCCTACCTAGGCAGAGGGGGTGGGACTAGAAGTCCTCCAAGGTCCCTTCCAACTCTGTTATTCTATTCTATTCTATTCTATTATGTCCCCACTTATTCCAAAATACAGTTAGTTTTGTAACCCAAAGTTCATTTCTGCTTCTGATGTCTTGGCTATTTCATCTGTCCAAATGTCAACACTACCCTTGGGATGACCTGAGTTTGTTCTTTGTTTCCAGGCAAGGGGACTGGACTTGTCAAGGGTGCGGACATGTGTGGTTGTGGCAGAAGAACGACCCCGAATAGCTCTGACACAATCTTTTTCAAAGCTTTTTAAAGATCTGGGCCTCCATCCCAGGGCTGTCAGCACATCCTTTGGCTGCAGAGTTAACTTGGCTATATGTTTGCAGGTAAGGCTCTCGCTCTCTCTCCTGTTGGCAGAAATTGTAAAAGCATCTCCTTCCGTTCTTTAAGGGAAAACAACCAGGTTTTACTTGAGATGGTTACTATATTTTTTGGAGTATAAGATGCACCGGATTATAAGACGCACCAAGGTTTTGAAGAGGCAATTTTTTTTAAAAAAAGGGGTTTTGCACTCTGCAAACCTCCCCAAAACAGCCTGTTTTTTGCAAAAACGGGCCCATTTTTCTTCCCCAAAAGGCAGGAATAGCCTTCTAGAATGCTCCTGGTGGGTGGGTGAGGGCTCAAAACAAGCAAAAAATGGCCTGTTTTTCGCAAAGATGGCTTCATTTTTTGTCAAGAAAATTGCATGCATAGCCTTTAGGAGGCTTATAGAGTACCCCTGGGGGGTTGGGGGGGGAATTGAGCAAAAACAGCCCATTTTTCACTCATTTCTGCCCTCCCCAGCCCCCAGGAGCTCTCTGAAAGCTTTCTACAGGCTCTGCATGGCCATTTTGGTGAAGGGGGCGGGGCTTCGGAAGGCAAAAAATACTGAATTCAGTGTATAAGACACACCCAGTTTTTCAGCCTCTTTTTTGAGGGAAAAAGGTGTGTCTTATACTCCGAAAAATACAATAGTTACTTTCTTAATCATTGCAAGTGTAAAAAGATGTTCCTTCTTCATACTACAAGCCTACACCTTTTGGGGTTTTGTTAATGAGTCATAATTCATTTTTATATTACATTTATAACATTTATTCTGTCCTCAGGATGAAAGCAATACAGTAAATACCTGTATAAATTTTCCTTAATTTGTAAGTTGTAAAGCTCATCCCAAATCTTTATGCTTGGTACATCAAAAACATTTTTTATCTTGTCAGTAGAATTAGGACTTGAACATATGTAGTGCCTTAAAATCACTCTAGTGTTACTCAGTTATTGTGGCTAGTGTTAGAAATGTATTAAATGCCCATATCTAAAGTACTAGTCACTATGGTTTTTCAAGTACAACCCAACTGGAAGATTATATTGTTCAGAAGGGGAAAAAATTACAGAATTTAGTATTAATATCATAACTCCTTTCCTTATAACCACAACTGTGATCAGAATCTTGGTTATTAAGCAAAGTGGTGGTACATGTCTGCTTCACTAACTTGACAGAATCCCAGGTCGGAATGCGAGGTGCCTCAAGGTGGAGGGGGGTGGGGGGAATCCTAGAGCCCCAGGCAGGCCATGCCTGAGTGTCCAGAGGTGGGTTCCTACTGGTTCGGACCGGTTTGGCCAAGTAGGTAGTAACTTGGTTCCCCATGCACCCAAACTGTTTAGTTTTTGGCGGCGCCATCTTGATTTTTGGTTTTGTGCATGCACAGAACAATTTCCATTGCAGAAATGTAATTCCCCCCCCCCCTTTTCTAATGTTCTAATGTTCTGTGCATGTGTAGATCTTTTTAGGTGTACATGTGCACGAGCGCTGAGTATACATTGGGTGTGCGAGCAAAGTGAGCGTGCTTGCACAAAAACTTTGGTGTTCCGAACCAGCAGTAGCAACCCACCCCTGTGAGTGTCTCTCCATTAAGGACCTAGCAATTCCCCCTATGAAATCCAAGAAGCTGAATGGAAAGGCAGTCGTAGACAGCCTGCAAATCTTGAAAGCAGGACTTTCAGCTCCTGAGTGGAGAAACACTCACCATTGCCTGTTCCAGGCTTTCCAGAGTCTCCCCCTAACCCCAAGGCTCTTAGTCCTCCTTACCTTACAATGCTGCCTTTCCACTCAAGGGAGCTGAAAATGCTGCTTGAATTTTAGCGCCCTCTCATTTAGAGGGACTGGCTGAAAGAGCTCTCTGCAAAAGAATTTCAACTCTTTGTGTGCTTGGATTTTGGTAGGGAGCTCTTTCAGTTAAGTGTCCCATCCTGAGCGCCCCCCACAGTAACATAAGATGGAGTCTTGTTGGCAGGAGGCAACAGCTTGCAACCTGCCCTGCCAGTTATCCATTGCCTTTCTGGGGGAGCTGGTAACTTACAGAAGATTGTAAATGGCAATCAATAGCAATAGCAATAGCAGTTAGACTTATATACCGCTTCATAGGGCTTTCAGCCCTCTCTAAGCAGTTTACAGAGTCAGCATATTGCCCCCAACAACAATCCGGGTCCTCATTTCACCCACCTCGGAAGGATGGAAGGCTGAGTCAACCTTGAGCCGGTGAGATTTGAACCGCCGAACTGCAGATAACAGTCAGCTGAAGTGGCCTGCAGTACTGCACCCTAACCACTGCGCCACCTCGAGTGGGGTTCCTGGCGACTGGTGATTGGTGCAAAAGGGTTGCCAAGCACCCTAATCAGAGTCACATGACTGGGGGGCACAGTTTGCAACGGAAGACCTTTACAGGTCATAAAATAACCTTTCCAAGACCGTCATTACTTCAAACTGATGTTAAATGAATAGTTATAAGTTGAGGATTCCCTGTAATCCTATTTTAGAGAGTAAAAAGCTATTTGCAGTCACAGTACTGGAATAAACTTTATAAACATTTTATTATTATAGTCTTATAAATTAGGCTTGTATTATGTTTTGCACTATGCTGAACTGGAGATGAACCTCATCCATTTCAAATGAAAATTTATTTGGGTGGGAAAACTACCTTTTCCTGCTGTCTGTTCCAGTTTTTGTTTTCTGATGGTTTCTATCTTCCCACTTCATTTTATTTTCACATATTAAGAATGACTTGGATTTTTTTTAAAAAATAGTAATTCCTTAGTATTTACATATATAACTATATCTATCACCTGTTGGAGTTCTTTTCTTTGTAACTTTAGTTTCCAGTTTCCAACAGTCACATCACTTGGAGATATCACATGACTTGTGATCCTTCTTTGCATAATATGATTTTTAAAAAAAATATGCGCACCTCTGGGCAACAATTCCCTAAATATTTATTTAGCCAAGGGTGAGGGGATTGTAAAGTGAGCAGACATTTAAATGTTTCCATAGTGTAAAATCGGCCAGATTTTACACTATTTCCCTGAATGCATTCTAAGATTTTATAATACTCTGACTTTCATAACTAGATTTTCTTTTCCATACTTCTTTTCTTCTATAAAGTTAGATGGCATTGCATTTAGTTCTAAAACTGGCCTCAGAAAAATACCAAAATCATTGCAAAATGGGTCGAGGATACAAACGTGGCCTGACTTACTTAAGTCATACAGTTTATTCTCATTCCAAATTTCATGATAATTTCTGGCATCTTTAACTTGGGTGGGTCATAAAAATGATAAATAAAATGCAGTAAAGAATATTCTAAACTAGCAACATGTATGAATGCATGAATGCATGCATACATACATACAGATATTATACCAGAACACTTACATTGTGGATATAGTATGTTAAGATTTTCATTTGTTAGTGAGAAAGGAGATTGTGCTATGATGCTTGTCAATTATAAACCTCCCAAATTTGAAAATCAGTGACAGCTAAGATGAATTGGCTTTATTAGCTGGTTAGTGGCCTGAACATCTTAAAGCTTAGGAGTTTTAGGTATGAAAATAACATACTATTCATTTTCTATCAGAAATATTAATATTGCACAGTGTATAGAATTTTTGTAGAAATAATATACAATTGAATAATTCCACTACTCTGTGGTAATGTGCCCAAACTATAATAACTTACTAAAGCTGTCAACCGAAACTTTGCAACTTCTGGTCTCTTTGAGGAGTATTAATCATGGCCTAAACTGTTCAAGAGATCATAAGCAGGAGTGGGATTCAGCTGGTTCAAACTGGTTCAGGTGTATTGGTAGTTCTGGCGATCAGTTGGCCCCGCCCATCCATCTCTACACTAGTCTGTCCTATATTTCCTTTGTTTGAAGCCCAGCTAATAGGCACAACAGAGGGCATTTCTGCACCTCAGCTGTTTTACTCACTGGGGCTGCAGTAGAAGGTCAGTTTTTGAGCTGTTTTCAAATGCACTACGCGTGCACGGAACATGTGTTTGGCGTGTGCCTGTGAGTGCAAAGTGCATGCTCAGCGAACTGGTTGTTACACTGGTCGAATCCCACCGCTGATCATAAGCCTTGGCTGTGAACAATGTTCTAGATTACAATGATTGTTCCAGATTGATGTGCATTCCAAATGTACACATTAGCCATTCCACATTCAGAAGATACTAAAGTATGCTTACTCTGAAGGATTTCATTAGTTCCACGTAGAACTAATGTTTTAAGAAGTTGAGATAATAGAGGCAGTTTTCCCAGTTTCATTTAATTTCAAATTTCAGGAAAATAAGCCTCCAGAAATTGTTTTAAACTTTGCTTTAAAAACAGACAAATGTACATTTCCTAAATAATTTTTTTTACATCAGCTGTTCACAATTAGATTACTGTCTTATATGCAGAACTTAATGGATATCCATACAAAGATATCCTTACCATTTTCCATTTTGATTTTAAAAACATTACATCCTTACATATATTTACTGGCTTGGATTCAAATGAAGCAAAATACATTTATTTTATTTTGAATAAAATATTTTGAATTCAGATTGATTTGCCTTATTAGTTTCAGTAGAATCAAAATACAGCTGATTTTTTGGATTCAATCCATCACACCAGTCCTTAGTAAAATATATAATCTAAGAAAAGATTTGATTATATACGAAGATTTGATGATATACAATATTTATAGAGTATACCATTCACAAAAGTCTATAGATCTTTGCCTATTAAAAACTTCATTTTAAACTTGCTAACTTGATCTTTATTTTAATTATTCAGATAGAATTTACTTGTGATCAAGAAGCAGCAAATAATTTATGCACGATTCTGAGAATGTTGCTATTTGCAGACTATTAGCATATTCAAATAATATTTGTCTTCGAATACTTGACTTAAATTCTAGAACAACAGACAATCTGATGTTTTCTAGGTGCATCTTTTCCACAAGAATCAGATCTTAGAAGTTTATTTCCTAATCTGAATAGTTTCTGGTAGATCAGCTATATCTTTCCTGTGTTCAACTGTGTTTTAATGATAGATCCAGGAACTTCCTGCAAAAAGATCTTTGTTCAATGCAAAACTTTGTATGATGGAAGATCGTGTAATTTCCTTCTTCGAAAATTATTCAATCTTATCTACAGGTAGCCCTCAACATATAACCTCCTGAACCCAACATTTCTGTTGCTAAGCAAAATATTTATTGAGTGAGTTTTGCCCCATTTTATAACCTTTCTTGTTATAGTTATTGAGTGAATCACTGCAGTTGTGAAGTTAGTAACACAGTTGTTAAGTGAATCACCTTTCCCTTGACTTTACTTTACTGACTTTACCTTGGCCAAGAGCCAAGGTGGCGCAGTGGTTAAATGCAGCACTGCAGGCTACTGCTAGATCAGCAGTTCAGCGGTTCAAATCTCACCGGCTCAGGGTTGACTCAGCCTTCCATCCTTCCGAGGTGGGTAAAATGAGGACCCAGATTGTTGGGGGCAATATGCTGACTCTCTGTAAACCGCTTAGAGAGGGCTGAAAGCCCTATGAAGTGGTATATAAGTCTACTGCTATTGCTATTGCTATTGCTATTACTTGTCAAAAGGTCAGAAAATGTGATCACATGACCTTGGGACACTGCAATTGTCATAATTTTGAGTCCGTTGCCAAGCATCTGAATTTTGATCATGTGACCACGGGGGATGATGCAACAGTTGTGTGAAAAACTATTGTGACTCACTTTTTTCAGTGCTGCTGTAACTTTGAATGGTCACTAAATGAACCATTGTAAGTCGAGGGCTACCTGTATATAGTCCATTCTTGAATAAACATTGCAGGGTTGTGCTGTACATATATTGATTTGGATAGTAGAACTGCAACAAGCAGAAATGGCAAATGTATTGAGGAGAGATGAGCTTGCAAGAGTGGCTCTATTGCGCCCCCACCCCACCCAAAAAATTCAAAACAAGATAACTGTCATACCTGGAAGCCATCTTTTACATTGGACATTTTCTACTGTGGGAAAATGAGAAGGGGGATTATATGGAGTATGGGTGATATATATTCTAAATAACATTCTTTTCTCAGAGAGGTAAGGACATCTTGCACCTGGAGTGGCGTGACTGGGAGACATCTTCAATTGGGATGGGGCCTGATTGGACCATGTGATGGACATGTGGGTGCTGGGGCAGGGATGTGAACTTTCTTTTGGGTGGGGAAAACCTGGAAGTTTTCAGATTCGGGTTTTTCCAGATGTGCCAATATGACATCTCTATTAAAATGGAACATTGAGGAAGTCTTCTTTCATTAGGGGTGTTACTTGGAACCCTGACATTAACCTGAATCTGACAATAACATTTAGAAGTGTCTCAGTAGATGCCTCCCTAATTTGCTGACATATAAAGAGAAGGAGGAGGAGATACAGCACAATCAGACTTGCAAGATTTTGTTACAATAAAAGTAGTGTCAGACTCCCCATGGAGCTGATTTTATGCTCTAGTAGTCTGCCTTCCCTTACAATGAAGCAAAGGATATGAGTGTACCATTTTTGCCCTTAGGAAGTAGCATCCTTATAAATGAAATTTCTTAGCAAATTTATGCTTCAGTTCGGGGAACAGAGAACTTCCTGGCTCCATTTCATTCATAGAGGCAAACTTGTGTGTGACGGAAGGCAGGTGGTCATGATAGAATTATCCATTGAAAAGTAGGAGCTGAGCGTTCCTTTCAAGATGGATGACTTGTTCCTTCCTGTACACCCAGATGTGCTTTTCAGGCTTAACAAAGGAGTGTTCCATTTCATTTTAATCTTTTGAAAAATGTAATGGCGATTATCAAAATGTGAAGGTATAGTATGGCACCGTTTCATCTGAAAAGTAGAGTTTCACATAAGGCTCTCAAACAATACTATTTATAATGTTTCTTAAATTGCTGAACTTTTGTTTGTTAAAAATTGGAAAGTCTACATATGTCTGCTTCTCCTGTTTGCTCTATTAAAATGGCACTTCCATCTTATTTTCATTTCTAGGTCTTTAAATAATAAAACGTATAGTTTATAAAATCCTTATATTGGACGTGGGTTTTTTTTCCCCTTTTATTTCATTATGCTCATTGTGCATAATTCTCTTTATTTTCCTCTCAACTTCCATTTCTTTTTCAATTATTATTATCTTCATAATTGTTTTTTTTCCCATGTGTTACTGTCTCTCCTTCTCCCCATCTCCCCCTATTCCTGCTGCTGTAGCCGCACGGGCTGGGGAAACTGGGCGAGCAGGTAGGGAATTTACCTGATCCGTAAAATATCCACATGGCAATGGACAGACTAGACGGAATCCAGAAAACCTTAAGTGGGGATGTACACATGTTTGATGTGTACACGTGGTTCAGTGTGATTTAGTGCAATAGCCAGAATTGGCCAGGAAGTGTCAAGGAAATAAAATTCTATGCAAAGAAATGAAATAATTAATAGCTGTTATCCAGATATAGTCTTCATCCAGAGTCAATCAACACTTCATCACATACTTGGGAATGTGTCCAAAAAAACAACACCCAGATATGATGACCCTACAAATGGAAACAATTGAACTTTATAAACTGCTTCTGGTCAATCATGAAAACAGTTCCTAGTGTAATACAGGTAATCTCGACTTAACAACAGTTCATTTAGTGACAGTTCAACATTACAAGGGCACTGTATGTGACTTATCACTGTTTTTCACAGTGACGACCTTTGACGCATCTCCATCATCTTGTGATCAAAATTCAGGTGCTTGGCAACTGGTTCGTATTTATGACCATTGCTGTGTCCCAGGGTCATCAGTCAACCGGATTACTAACTTATCAACTGCCATGATTTATTTAGCCACTGTGGCAAGAAAGGTTGTAAAATGAGGCAAAACTCACTTAAGTGTCTCATTTAGCAACAGAAATTTTGAGTTCAATTGTGGTTGTAAGTCAAGGACTACCTGTATTTATAGCGTGCTTCTCTCTCCCACTCTTCCTCTTTGTTAATAATGGTAATGGGCTTCTCCACTCTGAGTACTAGTCTGTTAGTTTGCAGCTGAATATATTAGTACACTGAGAGCTGTGCTGTAACTCTGGATGCCAACACAAGAATATAACGTGTTGACATTATGCCAAGTTGCCTAGTGATGCCTTCCTATAATTTTCTCTTGCCCTCCTTTCCCTTCTCTTGGTGATGGGATTCTGGTCAATGTTTAGTACATTTTTTTAGATGCCTCCTGTTTTCCTTAGGATAGAACCTGATTTTGTTTTTTAAAAAGGGGTGCCAAGAAATAAAGTGCCAAAGAACAGCCTCAAAATTCAAGAATCCAAGTTCAATATCCATTCTTCTTCAACATTGTGTCGGCCTACTTTATTTTTGTAGATATCCTGTAGACATCTACAAAACATTTGTAGATAGTTTATCATTTCTTTATTGCCCAGGAGTTCAAGGCAGTACATATAACATCCTCTCCAATTTTCCCCCACCATAGCAATTGAGCTGACATATCCAGATTTAGGAGTTTCCATCAACAGAATATATACTGTAAAATGAACCAATAAGAATGTGCCTTTCCTTAAATGCACATTTTTGGCCAGTTGCACAGGGCAAGTTGGGCACTTTAAGTCTTAAAGCCTCTCCAGACATGTGAAGTGACTTTGCACTGCCAGTGTTGCAATAGACCTGAAGGTGGTTAGAAAGCAATGTGGTTTAATGCATTTGGTTTCTAATCCAAATAATCTGTCCTGCATTGTATTGTATTTAGCTCAGATCAACATGCTTTTAGTTTTTCTTTTTAATTGCCCTGAGGTGCAAGTCTCTCTTAGGCTACTTCACATGATATACTAAGCCAGTTTATTCATTTAGCATTCAGTGTAAATTCAGCCTGTGTAACTTGTAAATCATGTTTTTGGCTTGTGTGATCCCAAGCAACAAACAATGGTTCAATGTAGCGTGTGAACCTATTCTTCGCATAGAAAGAAGTCTTCTGTAAAGACCATACACATGGGTTCATAGAGAGAATTACTGCATTGCGGGTGAAATGGCCACGAACAAATTAGGCGGCTGTTTTTAAAAATATATAATATGTTTTAAAGTAATAGAATAACTGGTTGTGCTTCCTCAATTTCTATATGTAGGTATCAAATATCTTGCTTTAGAACATTTTCAACTTTACATAAAGCTCTTTGCATCTGTGTCTCAGGAAATTTAATCTTGAACCTTTGCAGGCTGTGTTGTTCTCAGCCAATTCTGTTTCTTTAGAATTTGCCAAACCTGGACACCATTCTTTTTTCCCCACTAGTTGATATTCCGGCGTTGCCCAGGTATTTATTTATGGGGGGAAAATGTCTGGACCAAACATAATTTCCAATGTTGGATTTTTCCCCTTACCAGAGGGAGCCCCTTTGTGGAGTACTGTGAAGCCATTACTGTGGCAACTCCACTGCGCTATATAGTAGAAGCCATTTTAAGGCAGTACAGTAGAAGCCATTTTAAGGCACAATAGGCTGTATCTTAACAGAACAGTGTTAGGGGTGTCTTATGCCCCCACAGTATTTTTTTCCAGAGAGTAAGTAATCTGTGTACCAAGCTTGGTTGAAATTGCTCAAGGTTTCCAGAGTTATGCTGGAACACACAGACACAGACACAGACACAGACACAGACACAGACACAGACACAGACACAGACAGACAGACAGACAGACAGATAGAGGCTCATTTTCAGGAAGGTGAGCAACTAGAAAGGATGTCTCCAATGAAGAAGCCAAGAAAGAGATTATAAAATCTCCACATACATACACATACGTACTAATATGTTCCTTGTTCTTTTTTACCATGACAGTATAATGGATTTGCTGTTTTAAAATTGTAACAATAATTAAAATGTAGAAACAAAAACAACCTATTATTTCAGAAGCTAACTGAAAGATGTTTTTTTTTACAGGGAACATCTGGGCCAGACCCAACCACTGTGTATGTTGACATGAGGGCTCTCAGACATGACAGGTATAAGTTTTACTTTAATTTTGCAAAATTCACACTAGAAGGTGAGGAACATTACTATGTGTTATTCCCATAAGTGTAAAAGGCATATTTTTAAAAAAATATAACAAAAGAAAGGAATGCAGTTACCTGAAAGAACTGAATTTTCAGATGGCGTTTTTCATTATTAAATTAAAAGCACATTGGTTCATCATAGTCCATAATTCGTAAGTAACTGTCCAAATTTGAGGGGATAGAGAGTATCATTCTGGGGATAGTTAATAGACTAAGAGAAGATTCTACCCCTCCCTGTCGTATTCTTGCTACTTTCTCTCCCCCCACTTTTAATCTCCCAATGATATTTTTTTTAGTATAAATGTTATCACTATTTTATCTTTGTAATATTTTTGGTTTTAATATTTGCAAGTGCTGAGAGATGTCTCCAGCTAAAATGTGCAGCACATAAAGCCAATTAATAAATACATATTCCTACCTTCTTTCTTCCTATATCTATGAGCATCCCAGAGTATGGCCAGTGCCACTTACAGCTGCTTCTTAGCCTCTCTTATAGTCCTAGCAAATGCAAATTCTACTGTTGGGATGACATTTGCAGCAACAGGTGCAGTAAAAGTTGTTGAAATTGTAGCCTTCATTTTCATGTGTACCTCTGACCAATACGTGGTGAGGTAAGAGGAGAGATTTGGAACTTGGATGAATAAACCTTTTGTGAATATACTTTTTAAAAACAAAAAATGCACTCTTCCATGTGATTATGTTTGCCTGTAGAACCTAAATAGGAGTCATTTGAGGGACCTTATTAAAAGAACAAAACAACTTTTGATGGTCTCTTGCTTTTCTGTACAGAATTAATTGGAGGGTTTAGCTGTATGCTCTGATCTCATTGGAAAATTACCACTGGTTTGAAGCCAAGTGGATACGGTTGAGAGAAAGGCTTAGAATGGGATTCAAAGGGGAAAGGGGCCAGAATACAGGAGGAAAATGGCTATTCCTGGTTAATGAGAAATGCTACCTGGGCACTGGTTTGCTCCCAAAAGCATTTGGATCCAAAACACTACACAACAGTTCTATATTTGTTTTGGTTTTTTTTGGGGGGGGGGGTTGTTACATTTGTAAATTTATATTAGTACATTTCTTGATTGTTCTCAAAAATGTGGGGCCATCTCTTCTTAACCTCTGTTCTGCAAATCTCTCAGGCCAGTGTCGAACGCAGTCTCAGGTGGTACAATGAAATGGGCACTGAATTCAATCCCAGTTGAAACACAAAGCTCGGGAACTTGAGCGTGAGGAGCACCATCTCTTCAACCTAGTTGCTGTTTGTAACCTCCTACATAACAATCTTTAGCTTTGTAGGGAAAGCATGCTATGTAATTATTTAATAAATAGCTATTAAAACCAATATTATTTTTCAAAGGAATTGCGGGGATGTCAAAGAAAAGTCAATGTTCAGATTGACCTGTTTGAGAAACTGCTGCTTTGAAGGAGTATATAAATATAAATTACTCCTTTTATTCCTCTTTTTCTGGCTCCGGTGTACAAAAGCTACATATTCTACAAGGTCAGGAAGCAATTTCACATAGATTAATAGTCTATCCTGGCAAAAGAATTGAGCAGCTCTAGATGCAGCTGAGGTACAGTGAAAAAATATCAGCAGCAACAACTGTTCTTTGTGCTATTCAAGTGTTGTGTTCTCTTAGGTCTAACCCTTCCTTGACCTGCTCTGTCCAGGACGCCCATTTTCCCCTGTCCCTGAACCTCCGTGTGGGGCCTGCACTTAACTCGCATCCAAAATGGGCCGCATGGAGACTCCGGGGAGGGGAGAGGCCAGCCAGGGGTGGGATTTAGAGGTTCTCTGAACCAGTCATAATGTTAGCTATGGGTTCTCATGAACCCGAACAAACCTGTAGTAGCCCATCCCTGGCAAAAATTAAATATATTAAACAAATTTTAATGTAATGCTGTTGGTATTCTTCCCAGTGTATTTAATAATGCCCTCTTCCCTCTTTAGGAATAACAATTTAGTGCAATATTTTAACTATCCTGAGTTCCTCTGACTGAGGAATCCACATAGCCCAGTGTTTTTCTATCTTGTTAACTTAAAAATCTGTTGATCATTCTGGGGGCTGAAGTTGACATGTCTTAAAAGTCGCCAAAGTTGAGAAACATTGAATTAGCAATTCATGACAATTTCTCAAAATCTCAGCTTGAAAAGAAAGCAATTTTGCTTGGCTTGTTAAGATTGAGGGTTTTTAAAACAGGTTTTTTTATTGCATGCACATAAAAAGAGGACATACTCTAAATTATGTGGTTTTCTGTTCCCTATTGACTTTTTGCACCCATAGACACCACAGGCAACCATTTTTTCAATCTTTTGCTAACTGCCTGAGTGGGATCTGACAAAGATCTGATAAATGAGAGATGCCCAGAAGGACCTCTGTAATTCTGAATGTAATCTGATGTTGAAGGCTTTCTAGGAGACCTACTTAGAAAGAAGCAAGGACAACGAACTATGCCAAGGGTTAGCAACTCCTGGCTCTGGAGCCGCATGTGGCTCTTTTATCCTTCTGCTGCGGCTCCCTGTCGCCGGTTAGCTTCACAATTGTTAGGGCTTTTGGTTAGAACAGGTAAAGGAAAAAGGACACTGTGCTAAGAGGAGACTCTGTGGTGGGGGAAGTAGATTTCTGGTCAGCTCCAGAATTGAATGAGGGGCTTCTAGTTAGGACCTTTGTGGCTCTTTGAGGGTTTAAGGTTGCCGACCCCTGAACTAAGCTAACCCAGAAGTCCTAGAGACTGAACACAGATTGTCTCAGAACAAAAGGATGAAAGAATTTGAATGCACACACATGCAAACACACATAATGGGAAGCTGTCTCTGGGCACAATGGTCTTACCAATTCTGTTTCCTGCTAGTTAAATTGGCCTGCTTTACATTTAAATAACACCCTTAATCACAATACAAGGTTGTTGGGCTATGCACAGGTTGGGATTTCAGTCAGTGCATCCTGACTTGAAAGTAATTCAAGTTGTGTCCAGTAGCCCTGTCCAGTAAGCAGGAAAGGGACTGTAGTTTTGTTTTGTTTTTAAGCTGGATCTTCCCTTTAGCAAATAGAAAGCAATTGGGCAAACTAACACTGAAATTCATGTACTTAAGAGGTGTAATTGTACCTACATATGGTATTGCAGTTTTTGTTCATTCATAATCCTTTTTTTTTTAATTTTCAGAGTGCGTTTAGTAGAAAGAGGATCTCCCCATAGTTTGCCTCTCATGGAATCAGGAAAGGTAAAAATATATAAATTCTTAACCATCTGAATGGAGTGATTAAACAAATATTTTAAGGGGGTTATATGCATGCAGATATATGATTATTTACACCGAGAACGTGCAGAGCCATGCATATTATTAAGTTCTAGAAATTTAGGATTCTGAAATGAGTGAATTCATTATGGTTTCTTGCTATCTTTTATTTTTAAATAAATAAATAAATAAAAATGTTTTCTCGCTATTAAAGATCAATATCTCCAGTTATTCGATGGTGTCTCAAGTATACCTTTAGTCTTCCCGGGGTTAAATCTAAACCACCTGGACTTCCTCAAGTTGGCAAAAATCATTTATATCAAAGCTTTTCATCCATCTGTATCAATATTATCTGTATCACATGTGGTCAAACTGGTCTGAAGGACACATGCAACTCTGGAGGTTTAATATATCCTGCTTTTCTTTACCTATTGTCTCACAAAGAAAGAGAATGCCCATTTTTCTCAACTCTCCATGGTAGAAAAGCTGAATGAAACTGTGCGAATGAGATGAAATGTATGAATGAGAGGAAGGAAACTTTGCAACTGGGAAGAAATGTGAATGAAATGATATAGGGGGAAATGTGAGAATGCAGTTCAATAGTTATGTAGGGTGTGGAAGAAAGAAAGAAAGATGCTATGTAATCTTCCTGATACATTGCAATGGATGTGTGTGTGAGTGAGAGAAAATATATGGAAAACAGATTGATTGGATGATTAGGAATTAACAGAGGATTTGGGATTTGGAGCTGAGTTCCATGATTCTCCTCACTATCGCCTCACATTTTGGAAAGATCGTGCATCTGAGCTCCATAAGGCTCCTCTCTGGTCTATGCTAATTGGCAATAATTCCTGAGGGAACTCATTGTAAGTAATTGTATCTATTTCCTTATATATGCAGAATACGTGCTTACCATATGTTTTCCAGATCATTAGCACTGCTGGTGGTCATAATTTTGGGCACAAGTGAAAACACCAAGACCGATGAGTCATCCTCCTTAGTGAAGAGCTAATTCACAATAATGAATTTAAAAAGCTTGAGTATGGTGTCACTTTCCTTGAGGAAGTTGCACCTAACTTTCCTTTTGGGAAGCCTGCTGCGTTTCTTAAAGTCTTCAGAAACGAGGCAGGGAAGTTTTGTTGTTGCGTGAAACAACCTGGCTCTTGACAAAATATGACTCATTTTGTCTTTCAATAGATCCTCCCCGGCGTTCGTATCATTATTGCTAATCCAGAAACAAAGGGTCCCCTTGGTGACTCTCATCTTGGAGAGGTAAGTCCCACACTGTGCCAAGGTCAGGGCTGAATGAGAGGACTTGATTACAGGTCAACTCCTTTTTCTCATATCGTTATTTGGGCAGCCTAATCTAGCAGGTGTTATAGCGCACAGCTTAATGAATATGTGTGAATTAATGATAGGCAGTTTCTACTTTGCATTGTCATAGTTAAGAGTCATTAATTTTTTTTCTAAGATTATTCCTTCTCTTTCTTTCTATTTTGGCTATATTTAATCAGATGGTACTCCAGGAAAACACTTGCTGTACATGCAGCTCATAGTTGCAGATGAATGCATGATTTTTGACAGTACTCACCCACTGCAACCATGGGTGGATTCCAGTAGTCACTACTGCTGGTTTGCTTGTGGGTGCGCTGCGCGCTTGATGTGCACTGCATGTGCAGTACAATAAAAATTGTTCTGTGCATGCGCAGAAACAAAAAACAAGATGGCGGCACCTACCCCACCATCCAGTTCAGGGACGTAGCAAGCCTGGGTCGCTGCCAGTTGCAGCGATCCAGGCTGCCAAACCACTACCAGTTCTGCCGAACCAGTCTGAACTGGTAGGAACCCACCACTGACTGCAATGGTTGTTGTTGGTTAGCTGTTTTTACAGCTGCTTTTTAAAAAAAGTTCTGCCTGAATTCATGTGATATGTTGGGGGAGGGAGGGGAAATGCCAAATTTTGCAAGATGTGTTAATCTTGAGAAACCATAACATAATTGGGATCCACATTAAAGGCTACTAGTGATTCTTAAACCTTAACTTATCTGAAAGTAAACTGGTGTTCCTTTTAGTGAAGGCCTCTCATGGAAAGACCAAAGGTTTAAAACCTTTTGAAGCAAAAGACGCTTTCCTGCAATTAAAACATATTTGTTCCTGTTTCACATAGATATGGGTTCACAGTGCCCACAATGCCAGCGGATATTTTACAATCTATGGTGATGAATCCCTACAATCAGATCATTTTAACTCAAGACTGAGTTTTGGAGACACACAAACTATCTGGGCACGGACTGGCTACCTGGGATTCTTGAGGAGAACAGAACTTACAGATGCAAATGGGGGTAGGCTCTTTGGTTTTGAAAATGAGGTACCCAGCACAGCTTTTGGGGAGTGGCACATAGTTGCAGTACATTATGCAATATTTTCTCAGCAGTTCTGTTGTTTACATCAACTAATGCAACCATGCCTGGACTGTATAAAGGATGAGACGCATGATATGCTTTGGCTAGAAGGAGTTACTTTACACAGACCTTCTTTTGCAAGGGTGTCAAACTCAAGGCCCACGGGCTGGATGTGGGAGGGAGCCAACCTGGAAATAGCAAAGGATTGGCCCACAGTGCCTCTGCTAACAAAAATGGGGTGTGGGGTGCCACATGTGGCCCTCCCACACCCCAGTTTTGGCCTCGAGATTATCTGTACAATAAGAATGAGGGAGGGTCCCAGGGAAGCCCTGCCTTAGCACTTGGCCATCACAGGTGCCCCTCCCGACATGAGTCCTGTGTCACACCCACCCAGCCACACCCACCATGACCATGGCCACCCCCAGCGACGCACCCTGCCAGCCATTCTAGGTCCCATTCCCAGAATTCCAAGCCAGGTTGGGAAAAGCTTTTCCTAAAGAAAACAACTTTAAATTCAGTATTAGATCATTCTATTGTCACTGTCACTGGTGGTTTTGTATAACGAACTGTTTCTGTTTTCCTTTTTCCTCCTATGATGTCAGAACGACACGATGCACTTTACGTAGTAGGTGCATTAGATGAAGCCATGGAACTGCGAGGAATGCGGTATCATCCCATAGATATAGAGACATCAGTAATTAGAGCACACAAAAGCATTACGGAATGGTAAGTACAGGGGTACGGGTTTCGCTGTATGAGTGCTTGCATTTGTTTGAAGAATGCCACATCTCTTTGTTTGGATACAAATTCACTTGGATCCCATTCTCTTGCACCACTTGCAATTTTTTTGCTTGACATTCTTATTTTTTTGTTAGTTGCTCAAAGTCACATTTGTAGGTTGGGTAACCATGTTAATCATTGAATGAATGAAATAAGTTTGTTAGTCAATGATGATGTGTCATTTGGGTTATTCAGAAGAGAAGAAAATGCCAGCAGGATTGGTGATTTAAACAGCTCATCAAAGTTTCGGGAACCAGGAATATATTTATTTTTCATTTGCATTCAAGATTTGTGTATTTCCCCCAAAAAGCAGTTAGGGACAATTCCATTAATGAAAATAGCCACCATGAGCTCTGCATTAGTCCTGATACTCTCGCCCACAGTCCGGTCGAGACTCTGGTTGCTGCCTGGCACACGGCGGCATCGGAGACCCTTGACCAGATTGCGCCACTACGGCCCCTCCAAGGCGGCGGATCCCGGAGGCCTCCTTGGTTCACCGAGGAGCTCCGGGAGACGAAGCGTCGGAGGAGATGCCTAGAGCACCAATGGAGGTCCGATAAATCCGCATCGAACCGAGCACTCCTAACAACTTGCACCAAGGAGTACATCAGGGCACTTAGGGCAGCAAAAAGATCTCATATTGCCACCTTGGTTGCGTCCGCTGAGTCCCGCCCAGCCGCCCTGTTTAGGATAACCCGTTCCCTCCTAAATAGGAGGGATACGGGCGAACCCTTGCAGGGTAGGGCTGAGGACTATGCCCAGTTCTTGGCGGACAAAGTTGCTCGGTTTCGGTCGGATTTGGACTCCACCTTTGCAGAGCCAGCCGAGGCACGAGAGGACGATTTGGTTGACCATCGCTGGGTTGAGTTTCAGGATGTTACTTCTGGGGACGTGGACAAGGCCATGAGAGCTGTGAGTGCCTCCACCTGTGTACTGGACCCGTGTCCCTCCTGGCTGGTTGCTAACAGCAGTGAGGTGACACGAGGCTGGATCCAGGCAGTTGTTACCGCCTCGATTTGGGAGGGGCACTTCCCCGCCGCACTTAAAGCGGCGGTGGTGAGACCCCTCCTGAAGAAGCCATCTTTGGATCCAGCTGTTCTTAATAACTAGCGCCCAGTCTCCAACCTCCCCTTTATGGGGAAGGTTGTTGAGAAGGTGGTGGCCCTCCAGCTCCAACGGTCCTTGGAGGAAGCCAGTTATCTCGACCCCTTCCAGTCAGGCTTCAGACCTGGTTACAGCACAGAAACCGCTTTGGTCGCATTGACCGATGATCTCTGGAGAGCCAGAGATGGAGGCCATGCTTCCATCCTGGTTCTCCTTGACCTCTCGGCGGCTTTCGATACCATCGACCATGGTATCCTTCTGCGACGACTGCGGGAGGTGGGGGTGGGAGGCACCGTTTTGCGGTGGTTCTCCTCCTACCTCTCGGACAGGTCGCAGTCGGTGTTAGTTGGGGGGGAGAGATCGACCCCTAGGCCCCTAACATATGGGGTGCCGCAGGGTTCGGTCTTATCCTCCCTGCTATTCAACATCTACATGAAACCGCTGGGCGAGATCATTCGGAGGCACGGGATAAGATACCATCAATACGCGGACGATACACAGCTGTATCTGTCCGCCCCGTGCCAACTCAATGAAGCGGTGGACGTGATGAACCGGGGTCTTGAAGCCGTTAGGGACTGGATGAGGGCTAACAAACTGGTACTCAACCCGGAGAAGACCGAGTGGCTGTTGTGTTTCCCTCCCAATAATTCGACCACTGTTCCAACACTCAGGCTGGGGGGTCAAATTTTACACCCCTCAGAGAGGGTTCGCAACTTGGGAGTCCTCCTGGATTCACAGCTGACATTCGACCACCACTTGTCAGCTGTGACCAGGGGGGCATTTGCCCAGGTTCGCCTGGTGCGCCAGTTGCGACCCTACCTGAACCAGGAGGCTCTCACAACAGTCACTCGAGCCCTTGTGACCTCTAGGCTGGAATACTGCAACGTGCTCTACATGGGGCTGCCCTTGAAGAGCATCCGGCGACTTCAGCTAGTCCAGAATGCAGCCGCACGAGTGATTGTGGGTGCCCCACGGTTCGCCAACATAACACCTATCCTCCGCGAGCTGCACTGGCTACCTGTTGATCTCCGGGTGCGCTTCAAGGTGCTACTTACCACTCACAAAGCCCTTCATGGTAGTGGATCTGCGTACTTGAGAGACCGCCTCCTGCCAATTACCTCCTTGCGACCGATTAGATCGCATAGATTGGGCCTCCTCCGAAGTCCATCTGCCAGTCAGTGTCGACTGGCAACTACACGGAGGAGAGCCTTTTCAGTTGCAGCTCCGACCCTTTGGAACGATCTCCCCGTGGAGATTCGTACCCTCACCACCGTCCAGGCCTTCCGCACAGCCCTTAAGACCTGGCTAGCTCGTCAGGCCTGGGGATAAAATCACAACCTGCCCCCTCCCGAATATTGAATGAATGTTGTGTACTATTTTATTCTTATGTATTGTTTTATGTTTATTGTTTCGTATTTCCCCCTCCCTTATTTTATGTAAGCCGCCCTGAGTCCCCTCAGGGAAAAGGGCGGCCTATAAGTATTAATAAAATACAAATACAAAAATACAAATTACAGATTAAACAAATTGGTTTACATTTTAGCATGAATTGATGAATTCAATGCCTATGTTGCTTTCTTTTTCTTTATTAATGAAAGATGGAAAACAGTTTATCAAACCAAATAAGCTAATAGAATCACAAATATAAACACTGTCCATGACATTAATTTTTTAAAGGGCAAGCAATAGTGTGTATGTGTGTATGTATTGCTTGCTCTTTAAAAAAAATAATGTCTTAAAAGTGTTTAAATTATATTACTACATATACCATATTTTTCGCTCCATAAGACACACTTCCCCCCCCCCCCCAAAAGTGGGTGGAAATGTCTCTGCATCTTATAGAGTGAATATCGCAGCTGGTCCGCGGTGGCGGAGTTCTTTTACAGTGCTAAACTCCGCCGGAGTGCAGGAGTCAATATGAGAGGACACCTATTTGTGATCCTCTCAGGCTCCGCCTCCTGCCCTCACTACACTGCTGCTCTATATTCGGCGCTCCATATTCACAGTGAGACAGCGCTCCATATTCACATTTTTTTACTTGTTTTCCTCCTCTAAACCTAGGTGCATCTTATGGTCAGGTGCGTCTTATAGTGTGAAAAATACGGTGTATATATAAGTATAATTTCTGGAATTTAGATATAGATATAGAAATGGATGGCATTGAACAATTCCAGGAAATTTAGCCAAACTGATTGAAAATTCTCTTCTCTGCCCTCTATAAAATCAGATCCATTTCAAAGTTGACATATATTGTCAATACATTTTTACAGGTTAGAATTATCCTTCTCCAAGTAGTGCAATAATTATGTTGGCTCGCTCTCTCCTCTTTCCCACGCATGGAGTGTATTGATATAATTTTCCCCATCACCTTCCAGTGCGGTGTTTACCTGGACAAATTTGTTGGTTGTTGTCGTTGAACTGGATGGATCAGAGCAAGAAGCCTTAGACCTTGTTCCTTTGGTCACCAATGTGGTCCTGGAGGAACACTATCTGATTGTTGGGGTCGTGGTGGTAGTGGACGTTGGAGTCATCCCTATCAACTCCCGTGGAGAAAAGCAGCGAATGCACCTACGAGATGGATTTTTGGCAGACCAGTTAGATCCGATCTATGTGGCCTATAATATGTAGTCTTATATCTTTAAGGTTTCCCATGGACTGGACTCTAGATGTATAAAACACTTTTTTTATGTACACTAAACAATGTACAAGTAACGGTCTTCAGAATGGAACTCTTTCTCTTAGGATTTATTGAAGTACCCATTATTGGCAGGACATAAAAATGTGAAATGTGTTTCTTTTACCACTACATTTTAGCACAGAAGGACTTTGGGGTACTGCCTTCGGTTTGTTGGAAAGCCCATTACTAGACTTTTTAAAATAAGATTATTTTTTGCTTATTGGGATGAATACTGCTTTCTAAGTAATAGGCTTTGTATCTTACGTTAAACTGAATAGCTTTTTTTTTTTTTAAATCTGCCCCCACCTAGCCATTCACCCACACATGGATATTTTTGAACAGCTCATAATATGACTGAATTGTTTTGGTTTGCTTCTTTTTAAAAATGCCTGTATAAAATCAAACTTTTCTCATTTATGAATCCATTACTAATTTTAAGACGTTTTCTATTCCATTCGCCAAGGAAGCTACACTGAGGTACGAGGAAAAAAAAATGCTCAAAACAGCACCTTCTCAAATTAGACTTTTTAACAGCTTTCTCTCCTGGAAATGCTGAAGTTCAGAGGTAAAAAAAAAAGCCTTTGATTATTAGTGTTAGAATGATCTTTATAAATAAGGTGTATTTCGGCAATGAACTTGCAGATATCTTTGTACTAAACTAAAAAGATAAAATAAGTTAACTACTTCTGTAATTATGTACAAAACCTTTAATTTATTTTGATCTCTTTAGAAGTATAAAAGAGAAGCATTCAAGAATATTAAACTCTTGCAATGTTTGCTAATATAAAAACAAAAGGTTGTATTATCTTGAGTGGATAGTATCACATCAAAAATATATATATATGAAATATAAATTCACTAATGACAAAAAAAGAATTTAAAGTTTTAAAATGATGCAGTACTCATCACTTGCATGGTGTCTCTTTTCCCACTGTAGATAATGAACATTATTCACAAACGTTTAGGGGGAAAACAACAGTTCTCGATTGCGCGGTGCCCCCACCTAAAAGAATCTTCCATATACCAGCAGATACAAATTTGCTGCCGCTTGCAAGGCAGTGAGTTGATTTCAAGGTCGCAGACTTCTTGTCTTGCTCAGACCAATGGCAAGAGGTAAAGCAGTCCCTTTAGGAGCCTGGGATTAGGAGGCCATGCCCACCCAACTCTCCCAGCTGGCTGTTCCCCCAAACTTGCTTTAGCTCCCCACAAGGGCCCTGCTTTCTCCTCCACCATCCTTTTCCTCCGATGGTGCTGCAGTTCTCAAGAATGAAGGCTGAATTGGAAGGGCCTTAAAGTCTTGGCTAGTCTCTTGGGAAGGGACTACAGGATGCCCCTGGTAGGATAACTAAACCAGGAGAGGACCTGCTTATCATGACTCTTCCCACAGCAGATCGACATGTGGCCAAAGACTTGAACAGTGCACTACAAAGAATACTATTCTTGACCATCGAGGTGACCATAAATGTTGGCATGTATGTTCATACACTTCTTAGATGTTAGAAAAGGCAGGTTTGAAGTATAGCACTGTTTTCCTTAGATGCATAATATTGATGCACAATAATCGTCATCTTTTTCTTTTCAAGTTCAACTTTCATTTTTGTTAATACTTTTTAATGGGGCTTTTTTTCCCCTTGTGGTAAGAACAATTTTTGTTAGCTTTTTGATGGTCATTTTGCACAAGGGTTTTTTGGGCGGGAGGGGGGCGTAAAAAGAAAAGAAGTGTCTCTCTGCTGTCTGGTTTAATTTGGGCAAGGAGAGAGTCCATCTATTTAACCCTTTGTAGAAAGTTGTTGCTTTGAAAAAGTATCTTATTTGTTATTGGGCAATAACCAGAAATCCTCTCTAAGTGATTTGGCCTAGTTTAGTGCACCTGCTAACGTTTGTCAAACTGAGGGACTGAAATTCAAATGCTGTGATGCAATCCTTCCATCTGCCAATAGAGCAAGAAACGAAGGGAATCAAACCACATATCCCCAGCTGCCTCTCTGTTCTCCCACCCTTCACTCTTGCTCTGATTTTTGCTCTGGTTTCCTCTTCGGATCATATAAATCTTTGGCCATTTTTAAATCTCTTCAGGTAAATCGACCGCCTCTCCCATTTCTGGTTTTCTCCTTGTCGTCTTTGCTGATTTCATTTTCCTTTAGTAATCCCCAGGTCAACCCATGCTTGATGAGAAGATGAAGATTAACCAGGAGGAAGAACACCTTTTTTTTAATTTGTTTTTTTTTTTACAGGTTCGGAATAATTGTTTAACATCCATTGAAATTTGCATGCATAACAGAGTTGTAGGATAAACATCTCGGGATCCTTATAGCTCGTATAGAATGGAATTATTTTGATGCACCTTTGCAGGTTTTCCTTGAGTTCCAGTCCATCCTCTTTTATTTTCTTCTTTAATAGATGGGAATGGTTTGTAGCCTCCGTGTATAATACAGAGTATTTCATGATTCTTTTATTTTTTTTGCATTTTAAGTTTCAGATGAACTTTTTCTAGATTTTCTTTGCCCTGTGAATAATTCTCATGTTCCCAAAGACCTCTGGATAGGGAAGAGTTCTGCCACATTGTTCTGTGTGGGGCTATCAAAAATACAATCTGTTTGTAGAACGTCAAGTTGCTACAAAGTTCACACGACTTGATCATGAGCCTAACTGCCATGTATGAACTAACATGTGACATCGCTGCTACCGCTGACACAAATCCAGCTGTCGCTTTGCGACTGCCTCTCTTTTAACCTTCACTTAAGACAACTTTCCACTCCTGGGGAAGCGTGATCGCTTCGGCAACCTGCCGGTCGTTTCAACTCTTTAAAAAATTAGGACAGTAAATGTAAACTGAATTATCCTAGTTTTGTCATGCAAGTGAAGAGAAAAATAAAAAAAAACCATATGTAACCATCAGATTCAGCAATAAGGAAAGATTGCTCTGTATTAGAAATTGTACTGTAGATAAACCATTCATGAGAATGTATAAACTGTTTGTCTTGTGAACTTGTGCTTTTGAAGTCAGACAAAATCATGTAATCAACCTGATGCACACCTGAAAAGAAAGAGAAAAAAAACAAAAAACAATCCCGAACACGCAAATGAAGGAGGAGGGTTCACAGTGAACATTGAAACACAAAACTAAGCAACAGGAGCAGATTCTTCATGGTGCTCGTTTATTATATATATTTAATCCTGCTTGACACTTTACCCAAGGGGAGACTGTCCCTTTTATCAGTTGAATGTTAGCAGCGTTATTTCATAGAGTGTGGTGACTGGTTAGAGACATCCATGTAACTCAGCCAATCACAGTTCCAAAAAAAGAATTTTTATGTGCAAACAGCAACCTTCTTGTATGTTAAAACACCAGTACGCTTTGTACATCTGTGATAACGCCTGTTTTATATTCAAATGAACGAATAAAAGCTTTTATTTTTGTTGCTCTGAAAAGAATTGGGTGTTTTGGGCCTTTTTTTTGTTTTGTTTACTTAATGACCAAAATGGTTCTTTGGGGTTTTTTAAAAAGAATTTTCAGAGCTTTCTCTCACACCACATACATTTTTCTGTTGTTCTATAAAATGCAACTTTTAGTTGTCTTGAAGTCATTTCATATGTTATAAGTATACCCCAAAAGCAAACATCCAATTTATAGGTAACAAATATAGACTGGATTGATGCACTGAATTTTAATTGTGCATTTAAGATAGAGTCATGTCCCAGACAGATTATTTTGTGATTACATGGATGTTTACGATGATGGAGGGAGGGAGGGAGGGAGGGAGGGAGGGATGGATGGATGGATGGATGGATGGATGGGTGGATACATATATACATACATACATACATGATAGATAGATGATTCAAAGTAAATACACACAAATATATACATACAGAGACATAGATAGATAGATAGATAGATAGATGATAGATAGATAGATAGATAGATAGATAGATAGATAGATAGATAGATAGATAGATAGATAGATAGATNCCCCTCCCTTATTTTATGTAAGCCGCCCTGAGTCCCCTCAGGGAAAAGGGCGGCCTATAAGTATTAATAAAATACTAAAAATACTAAAAAAAACAACGAGTGGATAGAAATAGATCCAAGAAAAGTGAAAGCTTGTTGGACTGGAAACCTTCAAGTACTCACAGATAACTATTAAGCCCCCTTGGATTTGCCAATTTCTACAGGCAGTTCATTCCGACTTTTGTGGAAATTGCCCTCCCATTGACTGAGCTATTAAAAACGGGGCGTTCCCCAACAAATCCAAAAGCAAACCAACCCCTAAAGTTGACAATGGAGTGTCAAAAAGCCTTTGAGAAATTAAAACAGCTCTTTGCTCAAGAGCCCATACTGCAACACCACAATCCCAAGCGACCATTCATAATCCAAAGGATGCCAGTGATGTAGCAATAGCTGCAGTGCTACTGCAAAAGAATAAAGAAGGCCACCTCTTGCTGTCCACGTACGTCTCCAAGAAACTCACCACTACTGAAAGGAGGTGGGCCATTGGGGAGAAAGAGGCGTTGGCAATTAGGTGGAGCATGCTCACCTGGAAATATCTCCTGGAAGGGGGGATATGCCATTTGAGGTCTGGACTGATCATAAAAACCTCGAAGCTATCCACACCCATCGAAGATTATCCCCCAAACAAGTTCGCTGGGCACAATACTTCCAAAGGTTCCAATTCAAACTTAAACACATCCCTGCAGGGAAGAACTTGTCGGTGGATGCTTTGTCGAGAAAACCGCAGTATGATAGTAAGAAGGAAGAAGTTGTTCAACCCATCATTTCTTCCTTCCACCAACAAGGTCCCCAGTCACAACCTGAAACCAGGATAAGCTGATGACAGAGTTGAAAGCAGCACTCTCGGAAGACCCGCGGTTAAACAATAACAAGGACATCCTAACAATGAGCAGTGGCTTAGCCTGGAAGGGATTCAAACTATATGTCCCTGCGGGGTTGAGGCTGGAAGTCCTACAGCGAAGCCATGATGCAAAACTAGGAGGCCACTTTAGATTCATAAAAACACTCCACCTTGCCAGGCATCAATTTTGGTGGCCAAAGATGAAATCGAAAGTGGAAGATTATGTAAAAAGCTGTGCTACTTGCGCAATGATGAAAACACAGCCGGGGAAGCCCCCTGGACTACTATAATGAGTAGCCAGCCCTAGCTGACCATGGGAAGAGATTGCAATAGACTTCATTGTTGAGCTCCCAGACAGCAGCAGGAATAGAGCAATATAGACAGTTATTGATTTGTTTTCCAAACAGGCGCATTTCATCGCTTGCTCAGGGTTGCCGTCTGCAAAGAAATTAGCAAAAATGTTTGTGAAACATATTTATTGCCTGCATGGGGTGCCCAAAAGGATCATTTCAGACTGTGGAGTTCAGTTCACCGCCAAGTTCTGGAGAGAGTTCCTGAGATCCA